CTATTATTAGGGAATATAAATTTCTTAGTATAGTTTAATCTCAATAAAAAGTGGCAGGACAGCCGAATTAAAAAAAATAAAATAAACAATACTAAAGGGTGTAGCGATTTAGTATAGTTGGTAAGTTGTTATACCACCAAGTAGCAAGACAAGAGTTCAAATCTTACTGGCGATGAAATTTGAATTTACAGAATATGTTATAATAAACTATATAATATATTGATTGGATAAACATCTGTAACTTTGGTCACACCAGCTTGTACTAAGAGGCAGTATTGTATATTTTTGATGTCCAAGCCTTTTGGAGTATTTAGTGAACTGTTTAACTTTTTATTAGACTTATAAATCTATTCAAAAAATGTATACATATATGCAAAAAATGATTCTAAACAACTTTAATTAATAATTGAAGGTGGATCACAATATATTATTCAAAGTTATTCAGTATCAAACTCTGACAAACTCTGTCTAAATGCTGTCCAAGTTGTCTGAGTAACAACACTGCTAAGAGGTTGCAAAATGTTAGTATGCTATATAAGTTATATGAAATTCAAGTGAAGCAGCAAATAAATTTAAGAGATCAGAAATACGGAAGCCCCTTGGGAAGTTTTGAGTAGAGAAATAGTACAAATCTTTGACAGTACTATGTAAAGGATTATTATCTAGGAAACTGAACACTAGCAGTAAACTAAATGAGGACTAAATATTTGGCAAGCATTATATCAACCAGACTGCTGAAAAAACTAAAAGAAAAAAAATTCATTCAGAATATCAGAAAATACCTACTGGTCTTATCTGGACATCTGAATTAGAAGTTTGGAGTACTATTAGTTGACATCAAAGTACTGTTGATAGTCCATAAAGTAAATACTAGCATTTAGATGAACTTTGTAAAGACACAGAATAGATAACAGTAGTGGAAATAAAAAGCTGCAAGTACTTGGTCGCAGCCTAGACGTAAGTTACCGAAAACCTAGATAATATATGTATAGAATATAGACCGCTCTAGTAGGTTTATCATAAGGATAAAGTAGTTCTAAGGGGCCTTAGTAGCAGTTCCTTTTTGAGAAAAATGTCTGATAGCATTAAGTTGATCAGAGAGTTTAATTGAATAATCTAAATAATAGTGGGTTATAGGTACGGCATCTAGTGTAAAATCTAGTAATAGGCAGACTACTTAAATTAGGTGCTCAAAAGGCACAAGTATGGCTAGAATATATCTTCATTAATATAACAAAGTTAGAAGTAGTCTATGTAGTTGCCCTGGCATTTAATTCAAAGTTCAATAAAATATACCAGACTCCAAAGTGGTTACCTTAATATAAAAAAATAAAAAATAAAATAAACAATACTAACTATTTTGGCAATATATCAATACACAACTCTTCTCAATAATTGTAGTAAATTAAAATGAAATCAGATTAAAATGAAATGAAGGAAAATGTAAAATAGACAAGCCACTGAAAAATACAAATTTTGAGGTGCATTTTTTTAGCATTTTTTTAGAGTTAGAATTAGAGTTTAGAAGTAGGTTTTATAATAAACAAGTTTAAGTAAGTTTTAGAAGGTTAAATAGAAACCCCTCATTTCATTTTAATCAGATTTCATTATGATTTGCAATAATGATTATCTGTAACAAACTTATAGCTAATAAAAACAAAAACTTGTTGAAAAAAATAGAAAAGACAACTATACAAATAAAGTTTTTACAGTAGTCAAGGACTTTCTAATTTCTTTCAAACTCTTCTATATATTCAGTATTTAAATTAAAAACATTCTTGTATAAGATAACTGGCAAGAAGGTGGTGTCTTTATACAGAAAATTTTAATAGAAACACTGCTTCTGCTGATGAAGTTAAAGGATAGTTAAACTAAAAAAAGACAACAAGTGAGTTTTTAATATATTCTCTATTGAAGTTTAAGGACTAAAATCTTTTTTAACACCTTATTCTTAGCTTTTTACAAAATTTTACTAAAAAGTAAGAAAAATGATATACTGAAAAAAAAAATATATATATATACTTTGAAATGAATAGTATAAAGAGAATACAAACTCTCTTCCAAACAAATTTGTAAGAGAAAGAGTGTAAAACAATATACACAATAACTACTCAATACAAGTTTACAAACTATCTAAAACAAGGCCCAACAAGGGCACTAGCCTTTGTACCAAAGAAAAGAAAACATATTCCTCTTAGAATACAAGAAACTTGTAACAAAAAATTAAAAATATAAAATTTTCTTTTGAAAGAACAAAGAGAAATAAACAACATATCAAAACTATTGCAAATACAGCAATATTAACACAAATAGACAAAAAGACTGCAGAAAATACTAGCTGAAAAGAACTAGTCTCCTCAGAAGAAGAAAGTCAAGGCTCAACTTCTACAAACACATTAATATGTAAAAACAAAGTACAACAAAACAACAACAAAACTAGTCACGTTACAGAACACATATAAAGTTCTATGAATGTAGATCAAGATCAACCACTGGAACAAAATAGACCAGGAGCCATAGAATTTTCAGACCATAATCCATATATTAAAAGCTCAACTTTGAAAGGAAAAGCTAAAGCAGATACTAACTAATTAAGAAACACAACCAACAAGAAGTGGTCAAGCTTATTTGCAAAACTAAAAGGAGATCAATCAACATATACAGCTTTCTCTCCTAGAGAACAAATAAGAACCAAAAATGAGAATACATTAATTATTGAAATACAAAATATTCAAAGCTCTTTTAATGAAATAATAATTTCATTTTATGAAAGTGTCAAGCAAGATGTTATCGCAGCAAAACAATATTTCAAAAAAGACAACTATACATATCTAGAAATTATCTTCACCAATAAAGACAAGCTTAGCTACCATGCAGCTAAGAGTATCAATATTTTTAACAAATTATATTTTGGATATATCCCAACAGACTTACACAAGTCTTTTCTTCCAATGAAACTCAAAAATGTTCTATTGGGAGGAAAAGAAGAGATAACAATACTAATTAAAGATGCATTTCAAAATTTTGGCAAAATAGCTTTAATCAAACCACTGGTAATTGAAGGAACTCTATATTTAACTGACCAGTAGATTGTCATTTTTGACACAACTGAAGATGCAAATCTAGAAAAACGAATTCTTCATTTTACTCATCTTAAAGATAATAAAATCACAACTGAATAGAAAGCAGCCCCTAAAGTCTGCTACTTCTGTGACCAAAAAGAATATATAAAAAAAGAATGATCATAATACAAAGAATCAGTTGCATTAAGACAATATTATAGAGAATTCAAAGAAGTCTCTAAAACAAGAGATTGAGAGATAGATACAGGATGTAGGTGAGATTTTCTGGATTACGTGCATGCTGACTCTCCAACCAAATCCTGGAATTTATTTGTATGTATATCAGGATACAAAATTTCTAAGTAATGTAACCTGCTTTTTTTCAGTAAGTAAAATTTTTTAAACTCCTGCAATATATTTAATATTATAAAATTTCCAATAGAATTTTGTACCCTGATATATATTTTACGAGAAATATTCATGTAATGAAAAGAATCAATATTGATCTTATAATTTTGTCTTCATAATCAAAACCATTTTACTTTGACTTCACGGATTTAATTTGAATGATTTTATGAAGTTTAAATATTTTACTTTTTTGGAGTTCATTACTAATTTGTTTTAAATATTTTTTAAAATGTTTTTTTTTAAAAAAAAACTATGATTGGTCTAAAAAAAACCTACACATCCACTATATTGAATATAAAAAGTTTATAGAACCCACATTAATTAGAAATAGAGACTTAGGAAATAGTTTAAATATGAATAGAAAGGTTGTGATTTAAAGATTGTTCTTAAATGTATTAAAAGTGATATTGGAATTGGTATAAATAAGGTATTTATTACATTACTACTTGCATGATTTCCTGGTGTAATAAAATTTTTTAATAATGATCTGAAATAAAAATTTTAATTATTAAGGAGAATAGAAATATTATTAAATACGAAAGGTATATAAGGACCCTGAACAATCTACAAACAGCTAACAATTTGCAAAAATTACTAAAAATAGAAAGATCTGCAGAAAAAAAGCCTGAAATAAGCAAACTAATTACTAAAAATAGAAAGATCTGTAGAAAAAGTAGTCTGAAATAAGCAAATTAAAATCTTACCTGTCTATAGATTGTTCGGGGTCCTGGTATATATATGGTTTATTATTTCCATAGTTTTGTTTTACAATATTCCAATGACAGAAATTTATGAGGGTGAATTTTACAAGAAACAGATTATCAAAGAAATGGTGTGTGTGGCCTTTGTTCTTACACAATAATGATATTATTCATAAAGATCTTTTATTTTTATACATTTGTGAGTTTTAGTTACAGCAATTAATATTTCATAGCATCCAAATTATAGATGTAACCCAAACTATTTAGGACATTCTGGCAATAAGAAACTAATACTATACTAATTATCACATGGTTTGGAACATCCCAAATAGTTTGGGTTATATCTATAATCCAAATTAAGTTACAAGATACGATTATAAGGTATGCTTTTTTTATTTATTTATTTTATTCTAATTAAACTTTTTAGATTCTCAATTCATTACTTCTTTTGAGAAGTGATGACTACTTTAAACTTTTTATTGCAAGTATAAAGTCTATGGTATTGATCCTCGCCATGTCAGATTATGTCTTTTCTAATTTTGTGCTGCCTCAATATCATTCAGCATCATGAATAATCTATTCATATTGTTAACTACTTGGGTGATATGATTGAAATTATTTGCTGTAAGTTCTTGTTCCAGGTGATTTGCTATACATCTTATGGCTGCAACCTTTTGTTTATAAATGTGGCATATTTCTGAATCAAACGCTTCATCATTTTCATCCACCTCGACCAAATTATTACCTGATACTGAATCAAGTGCTTCATCTTCTTGATCTATTTCAGCCAGATTACTTGACTTAGCCTGCAAAACTGGTGAAACCATAGATTGTTAGATATTAACTTCAGTTAGCATGTGTTCTTGAGTATTCTAAATTAAAAAAAGATAATCTTCTTTTGTTGAAAGTTTTCATACAATAGCTGGATGCCTAGTTGATTTTATAACCTTGCCATTATTGTTGCACATTTGACCAAATACTTTGAAATGAGAAAGCAGAAATTAAGAAATGAAGACAATTACATATCCAACATGCCGAATCGATAAAATAATAACTATTATTATCATTATCAATTTGTTTCTCAGCAAGCTGTTTCCAATTTTTTTTGAAATCTTTGAACCAAGACGGTATAATTCATTCCAAGCACAATTGATAAAGACGACTTAGTTGGTCAGGCAAGAGACGCATACAAATAATCCACACAATATAATCAAGTTGTGGCCTATTGAAGCGGTAAAGGTAGCAGCACTTTACAACTCTTTAATGTAATTCTATTACCATATTTGTCTTACTAATTAGAATAGTTGTATGTACTAACTGAGCCCACAGTGTCCACCTTGTAATCCTATACCATTTGGACCATAAGTATGCCCAAAGGAGCACAAGGTGGTTATTGAAACAAAAATTATATATTTCATAAACTGAACTAGCACAGATTTCATTAGCTGTTAAAAATTGCCTAGTAGCATTAATAGGTATTTTTTGGTACATATTAAAGTGTTTTTTAATAATATTAACAACTTCATCTTGCAGTCCAACCAGGCATATAGTATAGTATTCAGGGTCAGTTCAATTTAAATCAGGCTTGAAGTCAGGGTTAATAAAACCAAATTCTTCAATCGCTTCATTTGGCCAATATTGGATCTGTCTAATTATTTTACAGCTTTTAATCTTTTTTTTTTATCGCCCTTTCTATATGCTACAAGCAAAGTTGTACATTTATATTTGGCCATATTTCTTTTGCCATGTTGATCTGGGTGAAATCTTTGTTACTAAAAAAATTTTGTAGCTGTAATCCCTTATTGTAAAGAGAATGAAGAAAACCAGAAAGCACTTTGGTTTGTAATCTCATTTGAGCATTATCTAATGTATTTGTAGTATTTAATATTAGATATGCAATTAGAAATCCTGCACCATAGAAGTTACTGATTATTCTATAAAGTTCAAATCATCCTCTTGCTGTCTTATATGTTGTATCACAGTGAATGCTAGATATTGGTAGAAGTTTAGTTAGCAATGGAGTTATAAAACCAATTGTTATAACTAAATTGTCATTCTACTCATAACAAAGCTTGCTACTATTATTAGGATCATTCAAAAAGCAATATGTAGAAGTAAAAGGGTCCTCATCTAATTTGAAGAAGCATTAATTGAAGGTGGACCACCAGTAGTTGATTTGTTTTGAAGTGACTTGCAAAGTATCAAATCTTTAATGGATATGTGTTTTTAGTTGTACAGAATCCATGTGAAGGTTCTGCATAATTTTGTGCTTTATTTCTTCAGGGTTGTGACATCTACAGGTTTTTCATGCTAAATACTATGACTAAGTTTTATATTTGCTTCTTTTGTTGCTATATTGATACTAATAATAAGCTTTCTATAGCAATCAAAGCAGACCATCCTTTTACGATTTGATTCTTTATACTCGCGCTCTAATTTACAACACTGAGAACATGCAAGGTAGAACTTACTAACCCCAGAATGGCACACTGAGTTAGTAGGACCGGTTGTAAATCTACAAATATAAAAATAATTTATAATTTGGTTTTGATTTTGAAGCTTAAATTAAGGGTGACTTATATTCAACTATATTCATCTCCTTCTTTAATCTCGTCGACTATTAGTTTTACCAAGTGCTTTGTATCATTATATGCATTTATTAGCATATTATTATTAAGTTCAATGCATAAGTTAAAAGAAATGCTAAAGTTTTCCTCAAGGTTAGCAATTGTGTTGGAAATATATTCTATAATGTATTCAAAGCTGATTTTTTCTATTTT